CTTGTGCGTGTCCGCTACAGGGTTGCGTGATTTAAACAAAAAAAAAAGTATTTTTTAGTTGGAAAATCACGAATCAAATTGATTTGCTCGACGAGTCAAATCACAAATAAAATTTGCTCATGATTCGATTCGTTCAATAAATAATAAATTTATGTTATTTACAAACAAAACAAAACCTACTTCAATTGTCATATAAAAATTTAAGAGTACAGCTAATTTCTTCATGATCCGACGATCGGACCTAAACCAAATTAGTATGGCACCACCTTCAGGTACCACCTTTCATTACAAAAAAAAAATTTTAATCGGTTAACGTAGTCCAAAGTTATGCGGTAACATAAGTAAAAAAAAATATTCCGACGAATTGATAACCTCCTCCTTTTTTGAGGTCGCTTAAAAAGTACCGAAATTAAACATCCAAATTTTCCCATTTTTAGGCTTAGTTTCCAGCTCTCAAGAAAAATAACTTCTGTCGCTTGAAAAAGTATTTTGCCGCTGCTGTAAATTTTCTTGAAAATCACTCTTTTCACGAGAGCTGCAAACACATTAACAGGCCAACCTAACATGTATACACGCACGCCAGCAATTTACTGTCAACAATTTGTTATGCATATACAACTTGTATGGGACCAACCGAAATTAAACGACACACAGTGGAAGAGCGCCATACAAAATGTGGCAAAAAAAAGTAAATGTGCTCCGAATTTTGCCAAAAATTGCAATGTAGAGTGCATTGCCTACGAATGAATAAATATGAAAAATGGTAGAATTTAGCGAACACTAGGGTGCGGGTATGTTAAATGTTATCCGATTCCGTATTTGCGAATATTATTAACATTTTATTTTGATATTGTTATTTAGCTTTGTACCACGATTATGTTTATTAGGAAAAATGGAAAAAGCAACAAAGTCTGAGCGGTAGTAGTTATAGCTGCTATATCGGAGATCACCACATCTTCTTTTTCTAGACTTCAGCAGGGATCGAAACCGCATCATCGAAGTGCAAAGTCAGAAGCGCTAACCACTGAGCTATGCACGAACCGTAAACTCTGTTGCCATTTTATTTCCTAATGCAACCTACTACTATCAAGTGCAGCTAATTTTCCGCTATTTAATGAAATTCGATTTGCAACTTGGATTATCCTAGGAAGACCTAAATCTGAGATATGGTGAAAATCGGTCAACTATCACGCCCACCAGCCATCGGAATTCTGAATAAAAAGTAATCAATTGCTTTTTCTTCAAATTTCAGAACTTTTTCTCGACTTATTCCAATAAATTTGAGTAAAAAGCCCATACGACCCAATGTTCTAGAAATAAAAATCTGAATATTTTACTTTTATTTTTCGGTGCCTGATGATAATACCATTTCATGTTCATGAATGGTATAAAAAAGATTGCTGACCGTGGAACTTGAACCGACGACCTCGCGGCTTGCTTAAACCGCATTACTGTCGTCTGCCAAGGCAAAAATTTTGATCACATCAACTGCGCCTTTAAGCCGGATTAACGTTGCCGGTCTGTCTATGCTATAAGATGAGGGCATTAGAATGAAACGTCAAATAATTAACTTGAACACATAACGAGACACACTGAGTAACGCCTATGAAGTTTCTTTAAAGCGTAGGTTTCAACATTTTTCTACTTATTAGTACATATGTACATACATAACGAAAACAAATAACCGCAAAAATTTTCGTACGTATTTAGCTTGCAACATTCGCTCGGTACAGCGCAACAAGTTGCCCAATGAAGCGGCGTATAAAAATGTATAGCGTCGCTTAAGCTTGCTCCCAAACCAAGAAAACCGCATTTGCTAAAAAAAAACTAAGTAAGTAATTTGCATATCTCGTTTATTTTCATTACACTTAATTGCATTAACGGCCAACAATAAATATTGGTAATGGAAAAACAATTTTAATTTAAAGCAGATATTACTGCCAATTTTCTAATAACACTGTGCTACAGCCGAAACCAGCCCAACTTTGTTAACATAAAAAACACTCGATGGATTTACAAAAGTTAAAAGTTTTATGGAATTCTAAAGTTTTCATGTCCCGGCATAAGTAGTTTTCAAAAATGGTTAAAGTAAGTGTCTGTGCGAAAGACATATCTAGTAAAATTTAATGGGAAATATTTTCGTAGAACATTTTAACCCATTAGCTCCCGTCTGGAAGGCTCGTTTTGACTCTTACTTCAAGAAACCCTTACGGGCTATAAAATTAAAACCAAAAGGGTATGCCAAGAAGGAATAACAGCCAAACTCAATTTTAAAAAATTAAAAAAAAAAAACACAAGTTGCTTTTTTTAATTTGCTTGTAGATTTTTTTAATTTTAATATTTTTAGAGACTTACGTTGATGGCATGAAGCTTTTGCCTGAGAAGACCCCGACTAAAATTTTCAGAAGAATAATTTTCTAGAATATATCAATCCTCTAACGAACTTCCGAATTTGCTTACCGAGTTTCTTGAAGTAAGGGTCAAATCGACCCTTTCAGGCGGGAGCTGATGGGTTAAAATGCTCTAAGAAAATATTTCCCATGCAATTTTGCTGTGTAAGTCTTAACCTTTAATTTCGCTCAGACATTTATTTTCGCCATTTTTTGCACTTTTTTGAAAACTACCTAGGCCTAAAAATAAGGGCTAACTTTTGCAAATCCATAGAGCCTTTTATTACTCTGGCTGGTTTGAATTATCATAAAATTGTCGCACAGTGTATTTAATCCAAAAATACAAATTTCTAAGCGCCTTGCAACTACATACATACATATGTACATATGTAAGTATGTATAGTATACGCCATGCTTAGTGATAATTCGGCGCACACTGATGACACTTCACTTACTGACAAGACTCATTGGCAATGCCTCGCTTCTGCAACAGCTTACAGACGGTGGCGTGGAAATCGTAAAATGATGCATCCTGAAGTAATTGATTGAATTCCTGTAGCGAGAAAGCCAAAAAAAAACTTACTTAGCAGGCATGATGAATGATACAAAAATAAGTACATAAGAAAATAGATGCGTGCAAAATGTTGCAACGAAAGCTAAAGCAAAACCAACAAACATTCACTTACACCATTGTAAACAATTGTCGGCACAAATTTGGGAGCATACTGATTGGTCACCTGCTCTGCCAACAGCTGTAGCTGTGTACCCAATTTTGTGTTGACGCAATTGCCAACATCGCTGCTGAGATCAACCAAATTGGCGCACTGAAAGTTAAATGAAACAAATTTTAAGGCAAAATGCAAAATGTACATAGGCGGCTACTTACTTCCTCCACACTTTGCTTATCTCTTGTGGCCATCTGACAAATGGCAAATCGAACGCGCTGATCCTGTGTGCTTTGCTGATTTAAAACGCAAGATTGCAAACGGTTTCCGGAGCATTCTGCCGGTCCATGTTGACAATAGAATTCGCTGCCATAATTGACGGACTGTTGAAGAGTTAGATACATATGTACATATGTAAGTGATTCAGAGGATGTCATTGTAAATAATTTTGGTCTTGAAATAAACGTCCCGCTAGATGACAAAAAAACAAAAAAATCCCACATAATTACTATGGGAAGACGTAAATAATTTGCAAACTTGCAAACAAAACGTTATCTTCTCATTCTCAAACGCGCAAAGTGTGTCGTGCCGAACAAGCTATGTATGTATGTACATAGGTGGACAAAATTATTCACGGTTATTTTTACGATATATTTTTGCGATATACGATTCGTTCCTTCAGATTGGTTCTTGTTTGCGTATGATTACGAATTTTGCTAAATTTTCGCTTACTGAAATTCGAAAAGCTATATTTCCAATCACCGTGGGAAAAATTTATTCATTTAAACTATTATTGAAGATTTTAACTCGCACAAATTGTGAAACCATAGTCCGGTATACTTTTGTTTTAGCCTAATGTGTCACGTTTATCGGCCGTTAAAATGGAAATATCTTAGGAAAATTACTTGATCTAAAATATCATTACACTGTATGGCAAAATCAACTTTTTTCCTGGGTATTGGACCTAACCAATTTTTTTTAAGAGATTGGATCTTAGGTAAAAAAGATATTTCTCCGTTTTTAGAAGTTAGCCCCCGAAAACGAAGTACGAAACTGGACCTGTGGTAAAAAATAATATTTAATTGTTGCATGTAAATAACTAAAAACCTAAAAATACAGACGTAGTCCTCCCTTTTCTCTTATTTAAACGGTACATAACTTTTTGTGAGCAAACTTATATTATAGGTGATATGAGGAGTCAAAGTTCAGGTCTTCGAAAAGTTTAGTTCCTTATATGTATTTCAAACAATTTTTAACTGATTTAAAAAGTTTATACCGTTTTAAAGGTGATTAAACCCCATTTCTTCTGATATGCATATTTGTATACTTCGTATATAAAAATTGGAGAAAAAACACATTTAAATGAAAAAATACCTTTTTTTATAAAAAAATGTTTTAAACAAAAAAATTTCCAACCGATTTTTAAAAAAAACGGAGAAACTACTTTTTTACTTATTCTCTTAAACAAAGTTACTTCGGTCCAATAACCAGCCGAGTGTTGTACAGTGTTATATAGTAGATCCGTAATTTTCGAACCAAAATGAAGCTCAGAGATCTAGGCATTTTTTTGTAACATTTCAGCGTTCTACAGTGTTATAAACGACGATAAATTCACTTTTACAGCTCTAACACTTACCGACTAAATATCTGAAAATTTTGACGTGATAAAGCTAACGTTTTCGGCCGTTTAGCTGTGATATTTTTGCGTCCCTACTATTTTATTGCCTTCGTCTATTGTTTTATACGAGTACCTAAGTACTACTTTTTATGCAAGAAAATGTATTAAAAATCGTTTATACTTACACGTGATTTTCCAAACGGCACCAGGTTTATGTTCAAGTTAGCTTTGAGTTTATCGTAGGCGGGCGCTAACTGCTTGGTCATAAAATTAATGCTGTCCGGACAGAGCGATTCATACAAAATGGTAACATCGATCTATAGATAAAGGATAAGAAAATTATTAAAAAAAAAAATAAAACCAAGTAGCAGTGGGTTTAAATAAATACTTTTTTGTTAAAAAATTATTTAAGTAAACACATGCGACAGGCGTGTGTAAATTTATGATAAGGTTGCAATCAGGGTTGCCACTTTGGTAAATTATTACCAAAATTGGTAGCAAAAATTTCGTTAGGTAAAAAGGTAAATTTTTTCTCATTTGGTGGATTTTTGTTAAAGTATTTTATTTGGAAAAAAAAAGTTTTAGTTCCCGCTTTATTTTTCATAGTGGTCTTTATATTATATAGTCAATTCTACTTTATCGCATTAATTTTTCAACGCTTTATCGATAAAACATATCGAGCATATCGTGCTCTCTCTATTCAAACCTCATTTTACCTGAGGAGGTTTTGATAATGTTAATGTTAATGTTAATGTTAATGTTAATGTTAATGTTAATGTTAATGTTAATGTTAATGTTAATGTTAATGTTAATGTTAATGTTAATGTTAATGTTAATGTTAATGTTAATGTTAATGTTAATGTTAATGTTAATGTTAATGT